ATTTTGGCAGAAATCCAGAAGTTAAAGTTTTAACATCTGAGAAGTTTCTTTGACCTCCATGTTTACGACACGTTCTCCGGCTAAACCTGTTCGACTTAATCAGAGACGGCTGTTAGCTTTAGCACAAGGTTATATGACAACACCATGTCACGCCATTGACGTCACGTTTACATTACGCCGTTTACATCAGAATGTTTACGTCAAGCCGTTTGAGTCACGCCGTTTGTGTCACGCCTTATGTCACGCCGTTTGTGTCACGCCGTTTGCGTCACGCCGTTTGTGTCACGCCGTTTGTGTCACGCTGTTTGCATCACGCCATTTGGGTCACGCCTTATGTAATGCCGTTTGGGTCACACCGTTTGCGTCACGCCTTACGTCAAGCCATTTGCGTCACGCCGTTTGTGTCACGCCTTAGGTCACGCCGTTTGGGTCACGCCGTTTGGGTCACGCTGTTTGGGTCACGCCGTTTGCGTCAGGCCGTTTGAGTCACGCTGTTTGTGTCACGGCTTATGTCACGCCGTTTGCGTCAGGCCATTTGTGTCACGCCGTTTGTGTCAGGCCGTTTGAGTCACGCCGTTTGTGTCACGCCTTATGTCACGCCGTTTGCGTCAGGCCGTTTGTGTCACGCCGTTTGCGTCAGGCCGTTTGAGTCACGCCGTTTGGGTCACGCCGTTTGTGTCACACCGTTTGTGTCACACTGTTTGCGTCAGGCCGTTTGTGTCACGCCTTATTTCACGCCGTTACGGGTCACGCCGTTTGTGTCACACCGTTTGTGTCATGCTGTTTGTGTCACGCCTTATGTCACGCCGTTTGGGTCACACCGTTTGCGTCAAGCCATCTGCGTCACGCCGTTTGTGTCACTCCTTATGTCACACCATTTGTGTCACGCCTTATGTCACGCCGATTGGGTCACACCGTTTGCGTCAAGCCATCTGCGTCACGCCGTTTGTGTCACTCCTTATGTCACGCCGTTTGTGTCACGCCTTATGTCAAGCCGTTTGGGTCACGCCGTTTGTGTCACGCCTTACGTCACGCCGTTTGGGTCACGCCGTTTGTGTCACGCCTTACGTCACGCCGTTTGGGTCACGCCGTTTGCGTCACGCCGTTTGCGTCAGGCCGTTTGTGTCACACCGTTTGTGTCATGCCTTATGTCACGCCTTTTGCGTCACACCTTATGTCACGCCGTTTGGGTCACGCCGTTTGTGTCACGCCTTACGTCACGCTGTTTGGGTCAGGCCGTTTGTGTCACCCCGTTTGTGTCACGCTGTTTGCGTCACGCCGTTTGTGTCACGCCATCTCGTAATGCTGTTCATGTCTTGCTGTTTACGTTCTGCACTGAAGACGCATCTGTTGTTCTTACATCTTCGTCTCTCATGAGTAAAATCATTGCAGAAGTTTTTCTACATTATT